AATTCTTGCAGAAGATTTTTCTGGAACCTCAAAGCCTAAATGTTCTATTTGTCTTCATCTTTCATGAACTTCAGCTCCCGCTAATTGCATATGAAGACCTGGGGTAATGTCCCCTTGTATTATAAGACTTTTTGTTGCTTAAATTGTTCACCTGGACAATGGGCAAGGGGAGTGGAGAAGATTTTCTCTACTGGCAAATCCCCTTTTGTAAAAGCTACCCCCCCCCAAAAAAAAAACACCACTCAAATGTGTGCATATACAGGCTCATTGGTAATACTGTCTGCATTTCAAGCACTCCTTAACTCCAGTGTAATCTTAAGAAATCATTACTCCATTGTTAATTACATCATAGGACAGTCTTTAATGTCTTCCATAAATATAGAGTGGAGATGTGGAGAATTACCAGGTAATGGTTTGATGGATAGGTCTACTCTAGTTGCAATGTACTAGTGGACATCAGCAGTTGAGTTCACTTTATCAAGTCTTCCAGTCTCTCGATAAAGTGTAACAGCATGGAATCCTAGATCAGATTGCCAGGCAAGGCTGAAATCACTTGGAAAGACAGCTGGGAAAATAATAGAACTACAAAAGTATGAATATTTGGACAAATTAGCCTGGTTTAATTGTTATTTAGTATCTTGATTAAAACAGTGGTAATAAAAGATGTATTAAGCATTTGCAATATTTCTTTGGAAGTAGCAAAATGTAGTCTGGACTTAGCAAGAAAAATAGAATGTGATGTTTGATGAATGACTGCACTTTATTAATTACTACTGCTATGGCTTTCCCTATGTTTGCAAAACTTAAAGAAAGTAATTGAAAACTCCCCAGCCACAACTGAGAACTTGAAAAAAAATTATATTCCCATATGTTCAACTAACATACTGTAGCTTATATAAAATATTATAGTGAGTCCTGTTTTAAAAAATACAAACATTTTTGCATTTTATTTTTAATAGTTATAAACTATTTGATAGAACAAGGAAAAATATAGTGTATTCTTCATAATCTGTGCTCTGGCTAGTTGTTTATTACAATTTTATAAGCACTGTGTACTTTCTAATAAATATGTATATATACATGTGTATTTAAGTTGCCTGATTCAAAATTTAAGTGAAATAACAATTATTTTCATAAATTAAATAAATACTGATATGCTTAACATTACTGTGGCAAATGAAAAGGTGTACAACCATGCTGGCATTATTATTACAGAAGGGTACATCATCTTTGTGCAAAATATTTGTATCGAACCTGGGTCTCATATAATACTGTCAAGTTGGGATCCCACTATCCTTTAGGTTTCTGGTTGTTGTGGGTTTTTCGGGCTCTTTGGCCATGTTCTGAAGGTTGTTCTTCCTAACGTTTCCCCAGTCTTTGTGGCCGGCATCTTCAGAGGACAGGAGTCAGAACTCTGTGCTCTGGTCTGTCTGAGTTCTGATTCCTGTCCTCTGAAGATATCAGCGACAGAGACTGGCAAAATGGTAGGAAGAAGAACCTTCAGAACACGGCCAGAGAGCCCGGAAAGCCCACAACAACCATCAGATCCCGGACGTGAAAGCCTTCGAGAATACTTTAGGTTTCTCCTTGAATTAACTGGAGGACAGCTGAGATTACCTTCTCTGGTTTTCCGTTCTTTTTGCTTGGATACATAAGGAACTTTCTTCCAGACTTTGTCAGAGTTCCACTGGGTCCCCTATGTATTGTTACCTTTAGCCTACTGACAGCCTTCTGCTAGCACTCTAGCCACAGTTCTACCTTTAAGGGTATTTATGGAATTTCGCTACACACATAGATCTTCTCCAGCAGTCTTTTCTATTGATTTCAGCCTTGTCTAGTAGCATTTCTCCTCTCCTGCTGAAGCTTAAGGTTTTCCCCCCACCCTCTTTTAGCTACATCCTTCCAGCTATATTTGCTGTAGATCCCCATAAGCATATACAGACATGTAGATCTTGGGTAAGAATAGCCTGACAAGAAGATCCGGTGTTGATATATTTATTAGGAATAGAATATGGGAGGAATCAGAATAGGACACTAGGTAGGGCATTGATGCCTGCAACTTTTAGAACATACTACCTCTTTTTTTTAAAAATCCACCTTTCCAACAGTCCCTTAGTCGCTATAAAAGGTAAAGGTTCCCCTTGACAATTTTTGTCCAGTTGTGTTCGCCTCTAGGGGGCGGTGCTCATCCCCGTTTCCAAGCCATAGAGCCAGCGTTTTGTCCGAAGACAATCTTCCGACTTAGACACGGAACGCTGTTACCTTCCCACCGAGGTGGTCGCTATTAATCTACTCGCATTTGCATGCTTTCGAACCGCTAGGTTGGCGGGAGCTGGGACAAGCGACGGGCGCTCACTCCGTCACGTGGATTCGATCTTACGACTGCTTGGTCTTCTGACCCTGCAACACAGGCTTCTGCGGTTTAGCCTGCAGCGCCACCACGTCCCTGGTGCTATACTATATTAGTTGCCATACTATATTAGTCGCTATACTATATTGCAATTAACCCAAAATTATGTAAAAACTCTGTTGTCACTACTCAACTGATTCCCCACCCTGGACATTCATGCATACTGGATAGATATATAGCTGGATGCAAGATTACATGGTAAATGGTGCTGCTACCTTCTGATATCTGTAATGAATGATATTCTTTTACTGTATTTACATTTTATTTAAACAATTTCTTTTTCTATTGATATTTATATAATACACACAGAGATTGTCACTACTGATTCCCCACCCTGGACATTCATGCATACTGGATAGATATATAGCTGGATGCAAGATTACATGGTAAATGGTGCTGCTACCTTCTGATATCTGTAATGAATGATATTCTTTTACTGTATTTACATTTTATTTAAACAATTTCTTTTTCTATTGATATTTATATAATACACACAGAGAGTCTTGGAATCTATTGAATAAATATGGTTTTGTTTTTGTTCAGTCATTTAGTCGTGTCTGACTCTTCGTGACCCCATGGACCAGAGCACACCAGGCCCTACTATCCTCCACCGCCTCCCGGAGTTGTGTCAAATTCATGTTGGTTGCTTCGATGACACTGTCCAACCATCTCATCCTCGGTTGTCCCCTTCTCCTCTTGCCTTCACACTTTCCCAACATCAAAGTCTTTTCCAAGGAGTCTTCTCTTCTCATGAGATGGCCAAAGTACTGGAGCCTCAGCTTCAGGATCTGTCCTTCCAATGAGCACTCGGGGTTGATTTCCTTTAGAATTGATAGGTTTGTTCTCTTTGCAGTCCAGGGAACTCTCAAGAGTCTCCTCCAGCACCACAATTCAAAGGCATCAATTCTTCGGCGGTCAGCTTTCTTTATGGTCCAGCTCTCACTTCCATACAACACTACAGGAAAAACCATAGCTTTGACTATTCGGACTTTTGTTGGCAAGGTGATGTCTCTGCTTTTTAAGATGCTGTCAAGGTTTGTCATTGCTTTCCTCCCAAGAAGCAGGCATCTTTTAATTTCGGGGCTGCTGTCTCCATCTGCAGTGATCATGGAGCCCAAGAAAGTAAAATCTGTCACTGCCTCCATATCTTCCCCTTCTATTTCCCAGGAGGTGATGGGACCAGTGGCCATGATCTTAGTTTTTTTGATGTTGAGTTTCAGACCATTTTTTGCACTCTCGTCTTTCACCCTCATTACAAGGAACTATGTGACTGACTGCATATCTGCATTCCCTGGGTATAATGCACAGCAAAGCTATACCTGCATAACTTTACATTATGTGGCAACAAACTGGATACTGGCCAAAGTCTCCTTATGCTATCACTTCTCAACAACTTTTCTTACCTTTTCCCCTATACTTTCATACCTTACTGTGAACTTATAGGGAAAATTTTAATGGCCAAGTCTAATCTAGCCAATACTATACAGTTGACTTCATTCATTTCAGTGAAGAAAAACTTGACAACAGGAAGTAGGTATGTTATCTTTTATCTCCTTTCCCCCAAAAGAAAGTTAAGATCTTGCTCTCTCTAGTTTCGCTATACAATAGGACTGCAGTATCAGTACACATGGCTTCACTTCCCTACTGCCTGAAAATATTAACACCCACCCTCTGAAATACATGGCTCCAATGTGTATTACCAGAACTGGCCATTGTATGAAACCAGAGACTACGAAACCAGTATATAGCATTTCTATACCTGTGCTTTTCAGCAACTGTAGGGGGTAGGGGTGGAACTGATCCCCCACAGATACTGTGGTCCTACTGTATACCAGTGACATCTCTAACCACTGGAGAAATGTCTAACCGATGAAACTGCTAAGGTGGCTGGGACTACAAAGATTTCTTTGATTCAAAAGACTTCTCTGTAAAGCTGGAGTAAGGTATTCGTGAGCACATAACACTTTTATTTTGGGCAACCCATTTTTGTCTTTTATCATGTCCATCTTTGCACAAAATTTTCCTCTAATATCTCCAATTTTCCCGAACAGATCTCTGGTTTTTCCTTTTCTGTTATTTTCCTCTATTTCTTTGCATTGTTGGTTTAGATGTACATTAAATTAGATAAATATGACGGTGTTAAAAATGGGAACTTGAAAAGTTTAGATACTGGTCATGCTTACTTATATCTGTTTTTGACATTTTGTAATTCAGGAATAAAAAGAAAGAAAATAGGAAATGACTGGTGCTCATTTAGAAAAATTTGCTACCAGAAGCATATAGACACGTGTGCAATAGAGAGGTTGCTTCCATCCCTCTCTCCTTCTTTTCCTCCCTCATTCAGCTGTTCTTAAAGATAGTTCTCAGTTTTGGGGTTTGTAACATACAGTATTAAATGCGAAGAGCAATTCATTTCTGAATAGTATTTCCACTGCATATTTCATATTACAATTGTGTAATCAAGAAGTACTGGTATGTGCAGAGCCTATATCCGCATCCCAAGCATGTCTCTCTCTTTTTTTTATACTTTGACAGCTGGTTAGTGACATGTTTACAGCAACACTTACAGTATCATCTTCTTCTTCCACAGCTTCCAAAACTCTTATAAACAGTATGCTGCGAGACCCTTCTCAGATTCCAGATGGAGTCTTAGCCAACCAGGTCTATCAGGTATTCATCACAGTCATCTTTTTTTTCACTGGCAATGCTGTTATCTACCTAGCAGTGTAAAAGATTTTAAACTTCATTTGATTAGTGTCATGATAATCTATCACTGAGGTCAAGCAAAGCATAAACGGAAATGCAATAGTTGTGACGAGCGCATTTTACTGTTAAATGTTTTATTTTTATATGGAACCAAAAGCATGTGATTTCTGTGAATATATAGTATATAAAATGCTTGTGATCGCACTTAGAAAGAAAACAATTGGTCTGTTTAACTGTGATAGTTCTGCCGTTCCCCATAATAGCACTACTCTCCTTATTTGTCTGCAGTGTATTGTCAATGACTGTTGTTATGGACCACTGGTGGACTGCATCAAACAGTATCCTTTCCCATAAAATTTTAGGTACACAGTTGATGAGCTCATACTCAGTGGAGGAGATGTGTCTAGCTTTAACCTGACATAAATTTCTGCTTCACCAAAGACATACAGTATTCTTCTATTTTGCATTCAGTCAACTGCGATAGGGTCACTGCAGACCCAGTCTCTTATGCTGTTTAACTAACATCATACATGCCATATGAAAGTTGTCAGTTTAGCCGATGTATATTTCCTGTGTTTAGATGTAATCCTTTTGCTATCAGCAGAAATACACAATCGTGTATTAAATTATTAGCTATCACAATATACGCATTTATTAGAACTCTTGACTGTTTAGCCTTTGCCATTGTGCAGTGTGTATTTGAAACTGTGATTTTAATCTAAAAGTGATAGTATCTGACTTGCCAGTGCCCAACTCTTGCATCTGTTCAAAAGGTACAGTACATTTTAAGCTAGTTAGTGAAAACATAGAAGTGCCAGAACTCTATAAACAGCTGTGAAATGCTCCAAACATAGAGCTCTACAGAGTTCTTAGTTTACAAAAGTGAATAAAGCAACTTCTAAGTCTATTCAAATCCACAAACTGGAATATCTCTTCTTGTCTAGAGCAGAGGTGGAGAACATTTGGCCCTCCAGGTTGTGCTGCATTACTGTTTCCATTGTGCTTCTTCTTTGGCCAAGCTGTCTGGGACTAATGATAAATGGAATACCCAGTAATCTCTGAATTAGTAAGGACATCATCTTCTAAGTTTGTTCCAGATCTAGTCATGATTAGAAGAGTATTACATCTTATCTTTCTTGTTGCTGGGATATTCTTGGGAAAACTTGAGGTTTGGGAAGTTTACAGTGCAAGTTCCAGTAGGACAAGGACCAAAAGCGTGCATGTTAAGACTGTCTTTAAGTAAACTTCCACTTCTTTTGAGGGACCAACATACCATGAATCACCCTGTTTTGATATATTACATTTGTCAATGAACAATACCTTTGATTATTGATTTGATTATTTTCACAGATCTTTTTGTTTAATAATACAAGGCAGATAATGTTAGGGTAAAGTGTAATAATTTTTAATCATGAGTATACCTGGAGATAGGGAACCCAATGTAAGGTCTCTTGATTAAAATTCTCTGATTTTGATTCAGAATGTATATCTGCAGTTATACACAGATGGAGAGATAAAGTGTGTGTGTGTGTGTGTGTGAATTCCTTCTTCCCACTCTGATTTTTTTTCTCATGCCTTAGTGTGATCTTTATTGCAGTTTTAAGTGGTTTCTCTGTATGTCCAGAAGATTTTTTTAAAAAAATCTGTCACTTTCTCGAAATGAGCAGAATATTTTACTACAACTACAACAACTGGCTGTCTGAGAGGGGTTTTTTAATGGATTGTTGTTCCTACTTACTTTAAAATGTGTTTTTTGTATTGATCTTATTTATTATTTTTAATATAATGTTTGTTTAATTTTTTTAAATACAATATTTCTGTATTTACTTTTGTTAGCTTTTAAATGTTATCTGTTAAGGATGTGAGCTGCCTTGGGTCCTTTTTAAAGTGAAAGGTGGGGTAAAATATTTTGAATAAATAAATAATTAAAGATATAGAACAAAATCAAGTCTGGCAGAGGCAATCCAGCTCTCCTACGAAACATATAGATATGTTGAAACAACAGATTATATGTGTTTCCATCTTTCCTTAGCTTTTAAAGGCATCTGTATGGTAACCCGATCATCAACCAGTAAACAAATTATTAATTTACTTCATATGTTCCTATCTTATTTGTATGTACTCATGGTTTCTGATTTTAAGATGTTGGGTTGTCTCACCAGTTGAATCAATCTGCAAGCTCTGGTTTTTCCTGGTGGATAGAAATAACCTGACAAAGGTTTTGAGGGAGCTATGAGGCATCTGATTCAACAGGTGTTTTTTCAGTGTCCTTAATGGTTATTTAAAGCATAGTTTTTTCTCCTTCCATGTTTGTGACTCAGCAACCAGTGCCAGCAAGCACCAGATGTTTCAGTCTCTGCAGGTGGGGCATCTCTTAATCTGTAGAGTGTATGGCTCATTTAATGCAGCAGGTAATTGACTGTGCCCCCCTCAACCCACTATTTAGATTGTAGCTCTATCTCCAGGCCTTCATTTCCCATCTCACTGTCGTTGTACAGATGGACCTCTCCTTAGAAACAAAGGCAGAATCTTATTTCCCTCTTCCATTCATGCAGTGCTTTAATTGCACATGAGATCAGGATTTTTCAGAGCTTGTTCAAGAATATATTGAATATTTTCATGCATGAGCACAAGCATAAATCCCAATAGAGACAATAGAGACAATCTCCAACTTGGGCAATGACAAATCAGAGATCATGGACTATAGTTATACTCCATCAGTGTTCTAGGTTGATTGGAATCAGAGATCCAGTAAGTCTGAACTCTACCCATTTTATGCAGAAGCAAGAGATACTGAAGAGCTATGTAAGAGCTTCTAGGTGGCATAGCTGATTATGTATTCCTTCCATGGTGTCCCTGACAAAGATGTATCAAAACTTTTCATCTACTACCTTGGTTAATATCACATGTATATATTTAAAAAAATACAGGCCTTCTCTCCCAGCTACATATTAAATAGCAAAATAATGAGAGTCTGGATTCTAATCCCAGCTCAACCATAAAGGCCTTGGGTCTGTCCTACAGCATCTCCCAAGCCTTCCATCCCCTGACTTGGCTTTCTTTATTCCAGGATGTTATATTGGGAGCCAAGCTCAAGCATCTTCAGATTTCACAGGAAATGAAAGCACAGAATAGTTCTGTGATTCTCAGCTGCATCACACCAGCTGGATGTGGTACAATACTGTATATTATTGCTCTAATATAGCAGTGATGTACAGGATAGGGCTATTAGGTTTATCCTTTGGCTAAAACATACCACATTTGGGGTTTTTATGTACATTTTTTTTTAATTCAAATCAGTTTTCATGTGATATTCTGTAAACAAATATCTAAAAGTGGTGTTCTTGTGTTGGTTTCTTTTGTTTCTTATGTTTTCAGTCATAGAAGGTTGTTATAAATGAGTTTTTTTAAAGAAAGCATTATTTGTGACTATGTGTTGCTGAATTAGTTGTTAATTTTAAGGCATACAAAGTAGCTTAAAATCAATTTAAATCTAAGGTTTTAAAAGCATAATGTCTTGTAAGGATTGCATATTGATTTTAAATACAACTATCTAATTATGTATGCATGGGCTAAAGTATGAAGTCAACCTCTTTGTAAATGCCAGGAGGCTATTTTTCAGTAATAGTTTGGATGCTTACGGGAAACTACTCTGTTGGATAGCAAGAGTAGAAAATGGCTTGTGAGGTTATTTACAAGTTTTACCCCATGGTCAGTGCTATACATCAATAACAGGTACTACTGTAGACCTAGTTGAAGTGTTTCAGCTTATAGTGCATTATAAATTTTATTTGTAGAATTTTTGTTATGAGTTTCCCATCATTCATTTTCTTCACTTAGTATAGTCATTATGCTAACATGGCTTCCATTGCAATGATATATTTATTGTAACTGTTTGTATTCCAGCTATAGATGATTTTAGAAGTTTATATTATTAATAATATAATAATAATGAGAAGTCTATTCATGCCTAAAATGTTTAGAGTCAAATAAAACAAGCTTGTGTAGATTATTTTTTAAAAAGTACTTCTTAATTATAGATGTAAGTCACGTGATAGAGATATGCTTTGATAATTTTCCAGGTGAAATAGATTTCTAAAGCCTTCATTAGAACTGTTTGCCGTTAGCATCTATTATGGTCAGAATCCTGCTGGGGTTTCCACCCAACTAATGTGTAAGTAAAAATGCAGAAATTGTGGCAACTATTTGCAGCTAATTGACAAGGTGCAAGTTCCATGTCTGGTCACATGCTGGTTGCATAACCAGGCACACAATCAGCATCTTCAGTTAGCCACTAGGACTTTTGGTTATGCATATGTGAAAAACCCAAAAAGGTTCAGGCTTATATATTTGCATAACAAAATGGTTACATTGTAACTGCAGTAAGAATGTCTACTCTACGCCTTAAAGCAGTGACCTCCAACCTTTCTGAATCATGGACTGGTGGGAGGGCCTGTGGGGGGGCGTACTCATGTGTGGGTGGGGCATGTTTGTGCACATACACGGAGGGGAGGGTCGTGTTCGTGGAGGGGAGGGATGTGCTTATGCGCATGCACGGAGGGGAGAGGCACGCTCACGGGTGCGTGGGGCACGCATGCGTGCAGGTGGCAGGCCGTGCATGCAGGTGTGGTGCATGGAGGGAGTGCATGCAGGAGGTGGGAGATCTGTCTCCGCAGCCCGATCCTTCCATGGCCATGAACCAGCACCAGGCTGCAGACTTGGAGTTGGGGACCCCTGTCTTAAAAAATCAGGCAGCTTGATCACATCTATTGCTTTGACTACCAAAAGCTAGAGTTAAATTTAGCAGCAAGTATAGAAAGAGATTCTATTGCTTTCTATTAAGACAATCTATCCAAATACAAAGGAGAATTATAACTATTGTAGTAGTAGAGTAGAAGAAAAAAAAATCTAAGCGTAGAGATGAGAAAATAGAGCCTGCTGAAATTTCGTCTCCAAGCAGATACAAAAATGATCTGTTATTTGTGCTTGTGGCCTTCTCCAGTGTCCAAGTGCATGTGCAAAGAATACTTTTTGCTGTTTCTATTAACCTGATTGTGCACATCATACTACCAAAAATCAGTCATTTCACGTATCTGTGATGATACTTGAAAAAAATGGCTTCACATTAACAGGTTTGGTTGGAAATGCCTGTTACCTAGTCAGTATTCAATTCTAGATCAGTTTATTCAGCAATAAAATACTATACAACTCTGAACCGAATTTCTTCTTTGTGGTCTCTGTGCTGCATGAGGTCTTGAATATGCTCAGAGCACACCCAGAATCTTTTAGAGCTGAGTATTTATTTATATAAATCCCTCTTCCATCTTTCAGAGTATACACCTATGTGACCCTTAACTCCACGTTTTTCCATTCCTTTTGGCCACTGTCAGAGTGACACACTTTGGAACATACTCCCTCAGTTTCTCATTGAAGAATGGAACCTTCTTTGTTTTTTCAAAAATGATTCTTTTCTTATAAATAATTCTTCATTTCCTGTTCCCCCCCCTCCCTTTTCTGGTCTTTCTCCAGGGCATGTGGTTTCCATAGCCCTTTTTTGAAAACTGTACCAGTCATGGAGGTAAAATTTCCCCTACAGATGATCAGTCCAAATGCCATTTTTGGTATGGAGTCCATCCCTCTCAATTTTGTTTGATTTGCAAATGGTTCACCAAACAAGGACTTCATCTCAATCAAAACTGAGGTTTGTCAAAGCCAGTTTAAACCAGCCCTTGCACATGGTATTGACCAAGATCTGTAAGAAGCTTTCATTTCTCGGTAACTTAATGGTGTCTTGTCACTATCAAGAGCTTTATTTACACCATCTTGGACACCACCTCAGCCATCTACTTCTGGGCATCTATCAGCACCTCAATCTCACATGCCCATTAATAGTGGCATTTCTATAGCATCTTCCAACCAAATGTTGGGGTGAGCCCTTTGAGTTATCATTCATGCTCTGTTTCAGTCTTGAATGAACCAGTATTCTGTTCATTAATACCTAGATCCACTCCAATTGTCAGTGATTTCCTCCACACTACGCAATTGTTATGAGCTGCTCCAGTGCCTTCATCTGTCACAAATGCCTTTATATGATCCTTTCAATCATATCACAAGGTTTTCTTATACTTACAACTGATGATGCTGTTTGCTTAGGCGGTGTCTTAAGAGATGTAATATGTGAGCAGACACCAGCCATCTATCCAACTCATCCTTAAGTTTCTTGAGAGCCTTAGACTGCAGATCAACAAGCAGAAATTACATTTTCATCCCACTCTTTCCACCCTTTACTCTGGAACTCATTGGGACCTCATAGTAACTCCACCTTTCCCTTCCCTCCAGTGCGGCAGAAATCTTAGCTAGTAAAGCATTCTGCATGGCCATTGAGTCATTTTCTTCAGCTTTTACTAGTCATTGACTCCTGGGTCTCATGGTTGCATCAACAGCATTTGTCCAGCTATGCCTTCATGCAGTTCTGCTCTGGTTCATATGTGCCTTTGATTAGAGAGCAGATAGGAAGATCCATATTTTCAGCTGCCCTCACCATCTTCATCTTAACATTAAGCATCTCTTCACTTACTGTCTCTTCAGCTCTCTGATGACAGATGACAAATACCTTGCTGTCTGGTTGGGGAGTACATTATTTGGGCCTTTATATTCATTCTTAGCAGTCCTCCAAGGAGTGTCACAACCCCATCAGTGTCCTCAAGCTCCTTTTTTACTTAAAGTCAGAAATTTGGAATTCTCATCATGGACCATATATTCCAAACAGTAACAGGTAGCACAACATAAGCTACATAGGCAGCATGGTGCACATTTTTCTGTTCTAATCTGCCTTATTTGTTGGTGGGATCAGTGTGTCCCATGTGATTCTCTTAACAGGGCATTCTCCTTAATGCATAATTGGCCACTCTGCAGTCTGTCTTCATTTTCTCAGGAGGGGCATACTGGTATGTTCACTTTCCACTGTAACAGGGTGGGTGATATTGTGGCAAAGCAAGAGTGAGCCCAATCTCAGAAGGAGTTGTATTTATTCCTTGCCTAATGGAACTGCAGCCTCCTTTTCCTCTTGTGTCATTTCCATTCATTTTGAGTGTCATTGTTTGGGTGAGAAAGGATGTAGTAGGTATGATATTCATATCCTTGTGGTAGGGCAGGCAGTTCTGACTCACCACACACCTCTAATGAATCTCCTATCACAAATTCAGTGATGTGGCCAGTTCTTCTGACAGAGCAAACAGGTCTCACTGGTCATTTGAATCTAGCTATACAGTACTTTGCCTGACAGATTGGAGGTTCTGTTGACAGCCACCATCCCTGACAAAGCTAAGAACGTTCTTTTAGCCCTTTACTCTTTCCTCATACGAAAGAAAATTGAGAGCATTCTCTAACTTCCTTGTGGTTTGTCCACAGTTTTTCATTTCATATGCATCTTTAAAGAAACTAGTTTATCTGTTTCCTCTTTAAGGATGCATTTGATTGCAATCTGAGTTCATCAACATCACACACCAAGTTGATCAACCCTTTCATTGAAACTCTCTCATTAAAATAATCCTGAAATTCCTTAAGTGCACCTTTCCAGATGTTGTTCTAATAGCTCCTCAGTGGTTTCTCTCAGTTGTACTATTCCAGTTTATGAATAAACCATTTGTGTCTGTGACTTCATGATACTTAAAGCTCATATACTGGTAAGTTTCATTCCTTGTGGCTGTTTGTGTAGAGACAGGGAGCTTTGTGCCTTACAAGTGGAGATGACCTATTTGATTTTAATAGGGATAAGTAGTTCTTTGATGCAGTACCTTTTTTATCCCTAAAATGATGTCTGCCATACATCTGATGCAAGGTTTGGTTCTTCCAACCTTCTACCAGAACAGTACTTCTCTGTTATCACCACATGCTAGATGTTCACAGTTTTATAAAAATATTCTCAGGTTTGGTCCTCTGGCAAGTTCCATCTTAAGCACCTGATAGAGAAAAGGAAGAAGCCAATCCAACATACACAATTGTCTTTGAAAATATGCATTGAGGTTTATTCAAAGAAAGATAGGTTCTGCAGAATGAAGATGGAAAGAGCCCTCCGTGGCTCAAATCAAATCATCTCAAATATGATAGAAATACAAAGGGATGAATTCACAACAAGTAGAACACACTGGAATGAAAAGTTCCAGCTCTCATGAACAGCCTGATCTGCAAATGTATTCATAAGTTGTGTTCAAAGGCAACCTTGATACGTTTTTGTCACTTCAATGGTGGACAATGAGGGACAGGAACATATTTCTGTAAACATCTTGGTTACATTTCATTAGATGTGCATTCTTGTGATACAATGTGTAACACTGAACATAAGATGTTATTCAGAAAGGCTTAATAGGTTTACTGTGAGGACCTTCCCCTTCTGTTATCTCATCATTGAAATTTTACGCTGCTAGCTACTTCCTTCAGGCTTTTTCACTCTTCGTCCCAGACTCTGTGGGTTTACAGCTCTCTTGACCTTGCATGCTTGCAAGCTTTGCTTTGGGAAGGAAATATTCAGCTTTTATCACTTCAGGGGAGAGAGGCAACTATTTCTACTCAACGAGCCCATTATTATACTATGTCCTATAGGACAAAGCATATAATCGGAAGGAGATGGATCATGTGTATTGGTAGATCAAAAAAGGGGATTGTCTATTTTACTTCAACAGGGCATTAGCCTTTACTGTTAGTTATTTGGATTCCTTGAGGAAATCCCCCTTCTTCCTCATTTTCTACAGGACTCCTAGTAAGGGATTACCATTTTAATCTCTGTTTCCAGACTTCTGGCATATCAAATGGCTTGTCTTCCTATCCCTGACAGTGTCAGAGGTACCTTTAGGACCCTTTTCATAATATCCCAATATTGGATCTGTCAAGCTGCTACATAGTTTCAACCCTCCATGTTCATCACTATCAGTTGGATGCACTGGCTTAGGCTGACAACTCCTTCCTGAGGACAATTCTATTATTCATCCTTGCACAACACTTCCCTCCTCTGCCCAGTAAGCTATGTGTGACTCACATAGGCCACAAAGAAGAATTAGTTTGTTCTTGTAACTGTATTTTCAAGTAGACATCTTTGAACTCACAAAAACCCACCCTCCTCCTCTGTTGGTTCCCTCCTTGCTCTGAGTTCCATTACCTGGCAGTGGATGAAAACTGAGAAGATGTTGCTGAGGAATACCTACAAAATACACACTGAAGGGTGTGGGCAGAATTTTGACCAAAAGCTTCTCAGCTCTGGAAGATTCCAAGCATGGCTATGGACAACTACCAGACCCCTGTACGTTCACAGATAGCCATTCAAAGAAACATGGTTACAAGTACGCAGGTTGTTGTGTTGTTTCAAACATGTACAGTCTTCCTTCCTTAAAAAAACATCAGTGCTATTGGACATGAACATGAAGTCTTACTGCAAGAAATCCTCTTGGAGAAAAATGTGTCTTTTTTAGGTAAGATTTTATATCATGGTTGAATATATGAATACTGGGAATTTCAGAAATTGTTTGGAAAAGAAGCCTCTTCAGTTGCCCTGTAATAAGTGGTAAAGGGAGGTGAAAAAATGATTGATGCAGTACATGTTATCTTTCATTGATTTAGACCTAAGCAGGAACTCAGTTATCTAATACCCCATACTGCATGTGCAGAAGCTAGCAATTAATATTTTATAGAATAAGTAGCTGGAAAAATGCTTTAATATCAGCTGCTGTATTACTTTTGGTGTCATGAGATATTAGCTATAATCTAGGTCTTAAGAGACTTAGAAAGAAGCATAAGAAATATTAACTACATAATGCTTTATATGTTGAAGAAAAATTCCTACATGAGAAATTCACTAGCTTCTTTAGAAATATGTTTATTTTCTCATATTTTTGTACAGGTGTATTTTCCTGTCCTATGTTTTTAATCAGGATGGTGTTCAGTGTTAAACTACATGAAGATATTGTTGTTCATTATATTCAAGTACTATTTTAGAATGCTTCAGTCAACCTCAGCTTATATGATTATTGTTGCTACAAGAACTATTTGTCTTTTTTCTTTTAACTTTCCAAGTAAAGCATATGTTTCATATCCTTTGCATTTAGTGTGTTGAATGTGAAGTGTCAGTTTTAGAGGGTTTATTTTTAAATAAAAGATCTTACAATAAATTTGAAATTGAACAGAAAAGAGGGATTTGTCCCCAAATGGAAAAACCCATTTAAAACATATACAAACATATTTCACAAATTTAATTATTGACAACTGTACTTCACTCTATCCTGTAGATTCACTTGTCCTGCTAATCAGTAGGATTGGCAGGACAAGAAGAGAAAATATCTTCAAAGGGCAAATTGATGGTATTTGCATATTATGATCTGAAATATTTTTAAAGCATACATTAGGACTAGTATATTATTTTCATCTATAATATGTCTACTTTATAATATTCAGAATTTCTTGGGGTATGACTTTAGCAAAAGAAATGGTTTGAAAACTCCTGAAGCTTTCAAAATAATATATAAAAGCCAGTTTTCAGGATCCTATCCCACTTTTGCACTATTCTTCTCCACTGCAAATAAACTAAGAAGATTCATATGGGACTAGTCAGATGGGAGGTGCCTTGGTTCCTATTGCACTGTACGGCATTTGTGATGGATGGAGGATATGAAAAGTAGGCAAACTAGCTGAGGAAAGGTGTAGACCAGCACATCCCTCTGCTTTCCAGGAAAATTAATAGGACAGTACCAGTGTAGCGTGCTAGATAGAGTGATGGACTAGGACTCAGTAGAGCAAGGTTTGAATCCCCACGTGACCATGGAAATTCACTGGAGGAGTAGAACTAGTAAAAACCACTCCTTAAATGTCTCATTTACCTTGAAAACTCTATTAGGGTTGCTCTCAGTTCTGACTTGATGGCACAGAGTGCACACACTTATAACAGCAATACCAATTGGAAATGGACTTGTGGATGAAGTGCCTTTTCTTGATTTAGAAAAATCATCAGTGGTCACCCTGTTCACAAGGATTTCCAACCTATGTACCATTTTAGGAAGCTCTGAATGCATCTATAGAATTAGAGAGTGAGCAACAGCTTCTGTAAGCTCTCTTCTACCAGCACAAGGATGTATGCCATGCTTACTGGGATGACTCTTCTGTCTGTAATCACTTTTCAATGAATAGATTTTATATTCATTTCTGACATATATATAAATTGAAGAGAAAGTGCAACATGTCTTCATTGTGATCATACTTGCTATTTCTTAAAGTTACTTTCAGAGAGATTTAGTCAACTGAGATATTTCTTTATTTTGAATATTTTTCAGTAACAAAGTACTGTGTGACAAGTTGAATTAATGATGTTTATAATGAAGACATAAAAATGCAGAGATGACAAAGAAGCATTTTTATATTCATGTTTCAGGTTTGCTAAGAAGGTTCATTTAATCTGACACAGCATTGCATGCATAAGAAAGATATGTATGAGTGCATTAGTAATTCCGTACCTCTGTTCAAAAGAAAATTAATTATTCTGCTATCTGGTTAATAGAATAATACTATTGTTTATAACATTTATTCTCCATATAGCTGAAGATCAGTTACGTGCGAAGGGTTATGACAAAACACCAGATTTCATATTAGAAGTGCCAATTGGTGAGTTTTTAGCTTTTGTAGTGAATTCTTTATATTGAAATGCTACAGTTCTTGATGGTATTACAGGATGATCATAACAGGATATTAGATATTCACAGTAATGAAGCAATCGCTGTTAAGATTTGTTTCTGGGAGAAAAGAGTTTTGAATTGCAAGTACCAAGTCAAATGCAGTCTTCTAAACCAACCTAAGACCCTCATCTATGAACAAACCTACTTCTGTTCCAAAAGCATTTATTCAAATTTCTAAACTGTTGAACTGATAAAAATATCTTAAATTTATCCCTTTACTTGTTGAAGGGAAAAGTTAATTTATTATTCCTTCTCAAGGCAAATGTGAACCATAGTTTCTCAGAAATCTAGCCACATGCCCAAATATAAGAATGTGCATTAACTGCCATGGTGCAAATGATAGTTTGCACAATGGGAACCAAAAGGGCATCTTGAAAATGGCAGTTATATCAAAGACATCCCGATGGACCCCACTGGCTTCTAGCCACAGGGGAAGAATTACAGAGCTGCTGCAGAGAAAGGGAGGTGTACATTTCTTCAGGTATGTTAAGCACCTGCATTAGTATTGTAAGTGAATTAACAGGAACACCTTGAGTTTGATACACTCTTAAATGCTAGCCCACGTGATGGCTAGTCTTCCTTAATTTATTTCAATCTATGTCTGACATAGTTTATGATTCTGCAAGTGTTTGGAGCATTTGACCAATTCCCAGAGTTCAGTTCCAGCACAATTATTGGAGTTGGTTAGCTATCTCCTGTGAGTTTTAAATTTTACTAGATTTTTATGTACAGTTGTGGCACTGTGAACCCATCTTGAGATTCTTGCTGTATTTTAGTGTTTCCTTATTTATTTATATTCCATCTTAGTTCAAGGAGCACAACATTCCAGGGCGTTCTGGGGTAACTTTCCTACACAGATCAGCAATGATCTTGACAGTGCCCTGGTCACTCTGTGAGGATATCCTGGGCTTTTGACACAATTGTACCTAAGATCCTGTTTAAACAGTCCATGCAGTACCTCGCTATGCATTTGAACTGTAGGACAGCAGCTAACACACAAGTGAATCAATGGTGAATCAAAGCAAACACTGGAGTATATTATTGAGTTTGTTCTGTGACAGTGAGTGTGTCAATGAAAGACTTCTTTCTAATCTTCATTGTTACTTCACAGTCATCTAAAGCACTGGTTCTTAACCTTGGGTTACTCAGGAGTTTTGGACTGCACCTCCCAGAAGCCTTCACCACCAGCTATCCTGACTGGGGTTTCTGGGAGTTGCAGTTCAAAAGCATCCGAGTAACAAAGGTTAAGAACCACTGATCTAGTATCTTTTCCAGCCAATGAGGGTTTTCTTATCATCTAGTGTAGAGTGAGGGAGTTTGTTTTAGTCTTCTTATTACCTCTGTAGTTGGGAAGGCATAACCAGAAATCACTTGAGATCGTTTACCAGTACAATTAATTGGAAAATTTGTTTAACACAAAGGACAGGGAGAAAATGTGAATGCCTTTTGTTTAACAAGGATGAAACATTTTTAACTCAAGTCAGATCATGCAATGAATGGTAATATTTGCTAAATGATAATGTTGATCAAAATTAAATCAGTTATTACATACAGATGTTTCTGTATGCAAAGCAGACTTTGATCCCACTCTCACTAAAACAGTCTAAAAGATATGCTCCCAAACAAATTATGTTAGCTGTTTAAATGAAGAATTAATGGCATGCATGATCAAAATTAGCAACCTCTTGAAATGCTGTGTAGCGCCATCTAAATTCCTGCTAGTCTTTACTTTTGGTTGGTTATTTGTTTATTTGTTTGTTTATTTATTTATTTATTTATTTATTTATTTATATGCCACCTTTCTCCCAATAAGAGAAAACAGCTCACAAGTTGAAGATTAAAAGACAATTAAACTCTATGTCAGTTGAAATCCAATCAATTATTTAAAAGCAAGTAAATTTTTAAAACTATCTTAATTCTGAGAAGGCATTCACAGATTCAAACATGATTGTTAAAAGCCTGCCTGAAAAGATGGGTCTTAAAGTATTGGTGGAAAGATAAAGGGGGGTATCCAGGAAAGGGTCAATAGAAAGATTGGATGAGTGAGAAAGAAAAATTCTTTTCCTTAGGAAGGGAAAGGGATCAGGAACAGGTGGGGGGGGGAGGAATGCTTCTCTCAAGGTGCAGTGGCTTTTTGTTCCATAGACACCCCTAAAATTTCCTGCTTTCTAATTTGTCTTGGTTCCTCCCTCTTTCTAGTGATGGTTGAAATAATCTTAAGCATCATATCTCTTCATAAGGAACATCTCATGGGGTAATAAATTTCAAAGGGCCATTCTGTACCACTGTTTCAGACTGAAAGAAGTTTTGCAAGCACAATGAAGTTTTTCCCAGAATCCCATTTTCCAAGCAGTTAGAATCTCCTGCCCTGTACGAGAGCCAGGCCTGTATTTGAGCCATCTTTTTGTCCCCAATTTGAGCCCCCTGATCATGAATGTCTTCAAGATGTGTAATAGTGTGACAAGTTTGCAAGCCATTTCATAGCCATTTCAAAGATAAAGTTGCTTGTATCTATCACAGCTTAAGATCCCATAGTACAGTTCTATATTGGAGTTTCCAAGAACATTACCTAGTGAGTTGTGTTGGATGAGTTTAAGTTCTTGTCTCTAGGAATGCAGACAAGATGTTTCTTCATGTTCAGCATTTCTTATGTGTTGAGTCTTGTCCTCCTTGGCTTATTGAATCCAGTAGGAAGGGGATGCCTGGCTAGTTTTAGATTCTGTTATCAGGCTGGGTACCATTGTAGGCAGCATTAAGCACTTGAAATAGTTACTGCAAATTATTGGGTGTGATGAATAACTGAGAAATAAGGTAACGCTGCCAAACATTGCTTACTATGTATCAGGAAATTCTTCCCAATGTTTAGTCAATATTAATTAACAGTTTGTTAGTGCAAGGTGGTGGAGGAGGGCAGAAGGCAAATGCTAGAAGGATATCTCTTTTTAAAGAAGATTTTCTAATCCACTGCTGATTGCAAAATCAGCATCTGCATGGCTTATTTCACCTTGTGTAATTGTGCATTCATTTTAAACTAATATCATTTTTTTTCTTCAGCTGTAGAAGGGCATATCATTCATTGGATTGAAAGCAAAGCCTCTTTTGGTGATGAGTGCAGCCACAAAGCCTACCTCCATGACCAGTTTTGGAGCTACTGGAACAGGTAAATTTTTTCTTCCTTCTTTGATGATTTAACCTGAAGGTAAAACATCTTCAATATTAGTTTTCTGTGTATAGTTTTTGTTAGTTGCTCCTAGGAGGGGAAAGTGGGATAAAAATGTTGGAAAAAAAATGAAATCAATTTCCCCTTTGTAACCAATCATTCATTTAGGCAACACCAGTTTGGGGCATCATATTATCTTTGGATATAGTATATGTACACATGTATGGGTCTTTATGGCTGAGACATGAAGCATCCCTGTACTAACAAAGCACTAATCAGTGTTTTAAAATGGGCTTTTTCTGGTCTAGATCATTGGCGCACATCTGCAAGGAAGCTTTGTCTCTAAGCCAGAAGAAGTCCTACTACTACCTTTGTAATGATATGGTCAAAATTGTCCTAAACATGCAAGTTCCTTTAAAAAGCTCTTTTCCAGGAGCAGGTGCTTACATTTATTCTCTGTCATTGTGAAAAATTGTAGGAGAAGCCATGTTGGCCTTAAGATTCCAAAGTCTGTGTTACGGTGATCCTTTTATTAGGCAAATAAAAAAAGATATAGTCATTCTGTGGATGATTTTAAGTTACTTTTCATTGAGCACAGTGTTATAAAAAGTAAGGAAGAGAGCTCAGTGTTAGAGCAAAATCATCTGCATTTGTTTGAAGATGTAATGGGGAAGAAGCTGCAGTGAGCACACTGTTCAAATGTTAGGTCTCAGGCTGCATGGATCCTAGCTTTGCTGGGAACAAGAAAGATTGTAAAAACCAATAAACTCTGAATCTGCATTTTGAAAATTCAAGAACTCCTTTTCAAGTGAGAGCAATCTCTATCCGGTGAGAAGCTAATAGCTCTGTTATAGAAAGAGAATCTAAGGCAACTTCGGTACTGTGAAAGGTGGGTATGATTTTAAATGACGGATCAAGTAAAGTAAGTCAATATGAGCCAGTCTAAGTAGTTTTACCTTGTATTGAAGGGATGAACCCTTAGAAATTAAAAGTCCCAGTTTAAGTTGCACGGAATCTGCTTCTCCCAGTGTATAGTCTCACCTCTGGTATGTCTAAAGTAACAACCCAAGATTGTTTTTCAAAAAAGCAGGGGATACCAGTTGGCTATAAGACAAATTCCAAAATGCATGTTGTGCAAATTCTCTGTGTAGGTTAAAAGAAAAATTCTTCAGCAGGCATGTTACAAAAAGGCGAGTGGGGAGGCATAAAGTTAGTGTGGTGTGCATGTTTACTAAAGATGTGATTATGGAAAACAATAGCTAGTGGGCTGTTCATTTATTAGGTTTAAGCCTGAATGGACCCTGGCTTTTGCAGGGAACAAGAAATGCCAAACAATGTAATTATCTGGATTGCTTGGAGATACTTATCTACTTCATCCACACAGCCTCAAGAAATAAGCCCATGCCTTTTATCATTTTAAATAATATGAGTAAGTTCTGTCCTGTGTTAGTTTTTTCACATACACTGATCAAGTGGATGGATACATGAAACTATGTTGTACCAAGCCAGGCCAAAATGACTTATCTATCCCAGTATTGTCTACTCTGACTGGCAGCATATCATCAGCGCTGAAGTGGCAATGCTAGTAGAGAAGATGTGGATTAAGTCAAAATGCGCTATTTTTATTGTACATGTGCTAGTAGAGAAGATGTGGATTAAGGCTATGACCACTCCAGAAGTCAAAATGCGCTATTTTTATTGTACATATACAATGTTAAAGATATATTTTATTTATGTTACTACACTTTATTTTCTTGCTGGTATAATTAAATAGTTGGTTTCCATGCTAAAGCCATAGGCTTGTATATGCTGTCATAATTCCATTTCTCAAAAAAAAATTTCTAGTTTATAAATGTGATATATTATGCTTCTGTATTCATGAATCAAAACACGAAGAAACTGCCTGCTATTACTGTACAATATGATGTCTGTGGTGCCAGTAGGAAAAAGGATGTCAAACTTTGCATAGCAAAGGGCAGTCTGAATGTGGATGACACCCATGTCAGCAATTAGGATAGCAGTGGGGGACAGTAGGAAAAGAACCTAATATTAGATGCTGTTGATTTGCAAGATCTAAGCAAAGCTTAGATACAAAATTAGGATATTTTGGAGGTCATTAGTTTACATAGTCACCACATATCAGAAGTGGCTTCATAGCATGTACCATCTTTGGAGTTGTTGCTGTTGTTGTTGTTCAAAAACCCCAGGAACAGTCAAAATTATAAATTATATATATATATCTGGTGCCATGACCACTCTAGGCGGCTTCCAACAAAGAATAAGCAACAAATAAAATAACACAAAAATTGTACATAGCATAACTTACCATTAACAATTAAAAGCTAGGGACCAAGTAAGAAGGGGAAAAAATTAAAGAAGGAAAAAGATCAAGTATTGAGGGAAGCCCTGACTAAACATACATGTTTTTAGTTGGTTTTTAAAGATACCCAGCGAAG